TGATGTCTAGATTTAAAAATACATACGAGTATAGTGAAAGTTCCTGAGAAAACTAATAAATAAGAAAATGAAATAAGTGGAAACACGCAAAAGGAAAATGAAAATAAGTATATTAATTAAAAAAGAAAACCCGGAGAAAAACGTAGAGGAACGTATTTTATTGTATAGTATTATACGGTTGAACGCAATTATCGTATTCAGCTATTGTCTTGTAAAAGAAATTTAATTTATGCGTATTCCATGGTTGGGTGTTTATCGAAAACAAAAAAGTATTAATTTAATGGATTTCGTACAAAATGGGAATTCTATGTGTTTGTTTGAAACACTAAAAGAACATTAGTTGAAAATAGAGAGAGGAGGATAAGTTGTATGTTTGATGGCATTTGAAAGTAGCGGAAAAGAAAATCTATTTCTATTCGGAAAAAGAGTAACATCTGAAGCTAAAAAGATATTGAGTGCATCTTTATTTTATGTTAATATTTAAAAGGGTTCTATGAAACTGCGTTAAAACAAGTTCTTCGGTTTTTAACAACACATACCTACAGTCTTCTTCTAATACTACTTCCTTCCCTTTTTTTTATTTTAATACATGTAAAACTTTATATTTTTCACGTAACCTATGTAAGTGTTTTGTTGCTTTTCTAGATTTGTGCTTCAAGAAAAGCTTCATCCTATTACAAGCTTTTTAAGCTGATCTTATCCTTCTTTTTATTATTCTTGTAGATACATGTTTATTTAAGCCTCTTTGTTCCAGTATATTTTCTGTTATATTAACTGGTTAATATCAAGGCAATCCATAGGTGTCTTAATTCACTGCCAATTGAAACCTGAATTTGTATAAGATTAAGATTAGTAAAATCCACAAGGAAAAAATTCCTGTAGCTGGCTGTATACCACGTATCACAAAAAGAGGTTAGTCTTTGTAAATGGGTATATTTATTTAAAAAACCCTTAAAAGGGCTACATCAATAAAAGAAACGTTTTCGGACCACACAGTCCATCATCAGGTTTTAAAATCGAAAAATGCTAGGTCACAATGCCTGAGCCACCAAAGTACTAGGGTAAAAACCCTTTAAATTACAATTAATTATAAAAGATTGTACATTGTGTTGTAAAATAACTGTGATGTTCAGTATTAAATTAAATTTGACTAGAGGTAACACATGGCTGAATCGAGTTCCAGAGCCGGTGAGAGAGAACCTCTACACGCGGAGAACAGCTGGGAACTGCTGGGGAATTTTTTTTTCTTTTTTTTATTAAGATTAGTGTTGTTGAATCAGTATGATTAATTTGATTATGGTAACATACTGAGCTTATGTACTATGTTTTTTAAATAACGAAACTGAATTTGGTGTTTATTGAAGGTAAACTAAATGCACAACCAAATACTTACCATGTCGGGATAGTATTATGAGGTTTTTTTCCTAGTTTTTCCCTCATAATTTACTATGGAATCACTAACAGGAGAATTTTACTGTCATCATGTCATGTGTTTGTCTTTTTAAAGACCAATTACATGCTATCATTTTTTCTGACGGATATTCTATTTAAGTTAAAGTTGATTTCATGTAATCGAATGAACTATCTTATAAGTAAAGTCGTCCCAGGAGCGCAACTCAACAATATTGGTAATATCATTTTAAAGTCGTTCATTTTAAAATGCATAATGTATGTCTAAATTGTCAATATAAATGAGTCAGATAAAACTAAATTATTGGAAGAATTTTTCACTAAGTAACAAAAAAACAAAATTTGTATAATTTACTGTGTGTATTTTGAGAACGATTTCCGAAGTGGAAATTGAAACGTCAATAAACGTATTTTTACCTTTAATTGTGGCTTATTCCCAGTTAAATAGTAATTAATTCTGTCATATATACTAAATACCAATTTTAATCTTTGACCTATTTCAATTCTATTCCCCGTATTCAAACCCTATATCTACTTCACTCTATTTTATGCCATAGACATATACAAAATGTCTATGCCCCACTCCAAGGGACATAGACGTTCAACAAATAATTAACTTATTTTTTGTACAATAAATATAGTTAGTTAATATTAAGCCACTTTTCTTCTACTCTGGAATCGACTGAGGTACGAAGTCTAGCTTTGTTTCGTTTAGCTCATGAAATAAATTTTCTATGGGATTTAGGTCTGAACTGCACGTTGGCCATTCATTCCATGTCCCGAAATCCGACTTCGATAATGTAATCTTGCACGATTCTTGAGATATGCGGCCTTGATTTGTCCTGCATAAAAGAAATTCGTCTCAAAGGTAGTCGTTAAGTACCACATGCATTACTAAAACCTCCTTGATGTATATAGCACCCGTTAAACCTCCTTACTCGTGAAGACGAGTAATGAAACCCCTACAAATGAAAACAAGCAAGGTCGGTTCGTAGCCCATAGAAATTGAAGCCCATAGCATGCAAGTACCACCTCCATAAAGATTTCTTCTTTAAATGCTGTGTCCGTATTCAGACGTTAACTGTCATCATGGTTACAACTTCCTGGAATCGTTCTCTATCTGCTGCTGTGTGAAATAATTCTTCTACATTCTTCATTGTCTAATAATCCGCAGCCGTGTAAGTTTCTTCCGACTGTAGGAACTACTTTTAATGTAGTAGTCTGAAAATCGCTCTCCTCGTCTTCGGTAAACTTTCCGGAGAAAAACGGGGCATCAGAAGAAAGAAATACTCATGGCATAAAAACATAAGGGATTGGACAAACCTCGATGCCTATGCACTGTTTAGAGCCACACAAGATCGAGAAGAGTTTGCCAGAATTGTCACCAAGATCCATGTAGGTACCATGGCATTTAAATAGCTTAGCCATTTTTTGAAACGCAGATCTTACTTTCTCTATCCTACATTTTATTTTTAGGAAATGGTCCCAATTTTCATTGACGTTTGTACCAAGGCAGAATGTTTCTTCCTAATGCAATTTCCAAATTTAGTTTTCTGCTTTTCTTTTGCTCAATGTATTTTATTTTATTCATATTTATATGTAATATCATATTTCCTGTGGCCTCTAGAACATTCTTATCTATTTTTCTAATTATTTTCTACTCCTAGCCAAATGTACAACATCATCAGCATAGGCTAGACACTGGTGACTCTTATTAAATATTGTTCCCGCTCTATTCATATTGCTGTCTCTTATTAGCTGTTCAAGAGCCAAATTAAATAACGCGGTGAATAGAGGATTCTCTTTTCTTACACCTTTCTAAACTCTAAAGTATTGGCTCTTTTTTTCATTAATCTTAACTGGTCTTGTGGTTTTCTGAAGAGCTATATGTACCAGCCTGATTATCTTAGAAGGGAGTTTAAACTCCTGCAGTGGCTTCATCAGTTTTAATCTACCTACATTGTCATAAGCACCCTCAAAATCAACAAAGAGAAGGTGGGTCAGTATGTCGTATTCATATGCACCAGAGCGAACTCGTTTCAGCATGGTCACTAGTTGATTGAATTTTTTTAAAACCTTCTTGATAGTCGTCCAATATATTTTCTGTGTACACTTCTATTTTTCTTTTTAGTATGGTTGCAGTACTTTGCAGGTATTTACAGTATTTCTTGTTTTATTTGCATGCCCTAAGTACTTACATGGAGCTCATATTGAAGCGCAATAATAATATAAAATACAAGCATTTATAACATTATTCAGTGGTCTTTTTTTTAGTGTGAACGGAAAACGTTCACACGACGCCTTGTAGCTTATTTTCTATCGCCACCTAAAAACGGAAGTTCTCATAGTCACTCACCAAAACGTGAGTCGAATAAAATTCCTATTCGGTTGCAGACAATAACAAAACCAGTAAATCACTTTATTTAATTTTTCGGAGTAATTCATTGTGAAATTTCCCATTTACCTCTAATTTTCAGATGGTATCGATTCCCACAGAGTATCCAATCAATTGAAATTTAACCGATTTTCTACTTAAAATAGAAGTACTTCCAAAACGAGATGAAATCCGTTCCCATAAATTCGAATTATGGACACAGTACTAAATTTTTGTGTTTTACACCGATGCCAAATCAAGAAAAGATTATTAAGTTGACTGATTTGGCTAAGATTTTTTCTTATTTGTTATTACTGTTTTATGATTTAAATTGTGACATTTCTAGATATCTAAGAGAATGATACTGTCACGTTCGTTACAACTTTTATTACGAAATGGTGTAGTAAGAGTTAAGAGATGAGTAGTAAAATAAAACTTCTGAGAAATATAAATGGCTTTCTTTTTGTATGTATTTGAACCAAATCTAGATTTCAAATTACTATTTTCTAACCAATTTATCAATTCCAGCCATACATTTTTCCTCAACCATTATAAGTTATTTTGTTTCGTTGTACAGTAAAACTTCTGTTAACCCTTTCATTATTGATTTCATTGTAGCGAAATAAAAGCGTTTAAAATGACTTTAATGATATTCCTTGACACCTGGAGACCTAACACAGCGATTAATTTTTTTTTGCATTGTTGCATGTCCTTGTATCCTTAGAAAGGACATGGGACATATATGTCCCATTAGTGTTGAATGGTGGGATACATAAATCCCATCAGTAAAGAAACAAACTTATATTTAAAATGAAAAAAAGGTACATTACACAATACGAGTTCTTGAAGAAATCTCTGCTGAACGTTGGAGTTTTTAGTTCTCCGAACATTTTATATGTGGGTAAATAAAATTTGTCTTCAGATTTTCAGGTATTGTAATTTTACCTGCCAACAACGGACAGTCAGGTCAGAGCGAATAAAAAATTAAAATTGGGGCTCCAGAAATCCAAATATGTAGAATTTATTGTAGCCATACAAGTAATTATATAAGTAGGTACTTATGGTCATTAAACTAGGTACTTTAAGTAATACATGGGAATACTTTCCAGTGAAAGTGGAAATATCGCTGGCACCGACTTTTATACCATAATACATTTTAATATCATATACAAAAATAATATAGAACAAGCGACATTTCTCCATTATTTTATATAATATGTCCCATTTATTAGCTGTTGATAAAAAGAATGTCCAACATTCAGCTAAAGCTGTTTTGGTAAAAAACGAATCACAAAATTAGATAAGATTCTTGTAATGCACTTATAAAATTCAAATAGTATACATTTTATCTAAAGCACTAGTAACCGAAGTTTTTGTACAAGTCCAAGCTAACCCATTTCCTCAAGATACAATACCGAGATAACCAATATCGCTTTCAAGTAGGTGTTTTCTTGTGTAACATACCGACGACATTTGAAAATGGCTACGACCCATCGATTATTTCTTTAGTATCCCATCCTTCTTGTTTGCAAAGTAGTTAACAAGCAATTCACTCGGAATATGTTTCAATACTTATTCAATTAGAAATAAAAAAAGGAGAAACCTGATATACAGTTACTCAACTCGTGTATTCTTGTATATCTTTTACGGTACGTGATCCTCGGTTCTTATTGCAATCTTAAATTATTTTATTTTAAGTAATTATATAGTAGACACAACTATCTGGAAATGGAAACTTAGTATTTTTCAGCATTTGCAAATAGATAAGGAAATTTCTTGAAACGTACGGGATGAAATTAGACAATACAGGTGCCTGAGATGATTGTATATTATAATAAAATATTATTATGCTCTTAAAAATAAACCTTTGAATTTCTTAAACATAAAAATCGGTCCACTTTAAACTTGAACTATACTTCTTTCTGAAATTAATTACTTGGGTAAAAAAACAAACGTAACACAAACAAAACAACCAAAAGTAACCAAAACAGAAGGGTGAAGGTCAATGTTGACGGAACAGATCTGGAAAGAGTAACAAGAACAACGTACCTTGGAAGTAATCTTGATGAAATTTGGGACCACTCACTAGAGATAAGAATACGCCTGGAAAAGGCACGTACAATGTTTTACAAAATGCAAAAAGTTCTATGCAACCGCCAGCTGGGCATCTCATTGAGAACTAGAATACTTAAGTGCTATGTTTTCTCCACCTTGCTCTATGGTGTTGAAGCCTGGACAATGACAGAAGCAACACAAAAAAGAATCCAAGCATTCGAACTCTGGTGTTACCGTAAAATGCTCAGAATATCCTACATGAGCCATAAGACAAATGCGGAAGTCTTGCGGAGGATGAATAAGGAAAGAGAGCTTATGCTTATAATAAAAAAAAGGAAAACACAATATTTTGGTCACGTCATAAGAAATCAGAAGTATGAACTGCTCCAACTTATAATCGAAGGCAAAGTCAATAGCAAAAGAGGACCAGGAAGAAGACGCAACTCCTGGCTTAAAAACCTACGGCAATGGACGAACATGACCACCATAGAACTATTCAGGGCTGCTACAAATAAGATTAAATGGGCAAATGTAATGGCCAACGTCCTTAAGGATAAGGCACCGTAAGAAGAAGAAGTAAAAAAACAATAATAAGAAATTTGTCAAAATTGTTGCCTTTTCAACAAAAAATTGCATATTGTACGTTTTTCATAATTAAAGCTGCGTAAGTTATTGATTTAAAAGAAAATGGACTGGGCCAGCGAACTGTGGTTGAACAATTGTTTAACGTTGTGACAAGACGTGGATCCTTTAGTAAACGACCTGGATCAGATAGAAAACGATTTACAACTGCTCGTGATGATCGCTTAATTCGTCACTTTAATGCCGTTTAAGTGCAACAACAGCTCTGTCAAGTCAGAGTGTAAGAGGTTATTAGTCAGTGGACAGTAAAACGAAGACTTCATGAAAATAATCTGATCGAAGGTTTAAAAAAAATCAATCAACTAGTGACCATGTATTTATGCTGAAACGAGTTCTATCTGGTGCATATGTATACGACACGTTGACCCACCTTCTCTTTGTTGCTTTGTTGCACAGCAATGCTGTTCTGGCGCACTCAATGCTGCTACGTATCTCTATGTCTGGATCTAGATTTTCAGTTATCCAACTATCGAGATATCTGAACTTGGGGAGCTTTTGGATATTCTTATTGTTTACTCTTATATTTAATTGCCTATTTCGTGTTCTACTAACCACTACTACCTTCGTCTTGTCTATATTAATCTCAAAACCCAGTCGTTCTCCTTCAGCGTTTATTCTATCTATTAGTCGTTGTAGCGCTTCTTCACTATCAGCTATTATGACCGTATCCTCAGCATAGCGAAGATTACTAGTAGTCCGTCCAAGGATTTTATTTCCATCTTCAGTGTCTGTTAAAGCTCTATCGAAAATCATTTCAGAGTAAATATTAAAAAGGAAGGGTGACAGAACACAACCCTGTCGTACAGCTTTTTCGATTGAGAAATATGATATAGATTCCAGTTCTACTCTCGCATATGCCACTTGATGCATATAAAGATTCTTTATGATTTTAAGGTCAGTCTCATCTATCGAATGTTTCTGGAGCAACCTTACTAATTCTGAATGATTAACACAGTTAAGCGCTTTCTGGTAATATATAAAGCATAGGAAGACATCTTTTTGCTGATCTCTGCATTTCTGAAGTAGGACAATTAAGGCATAAAGTGCTTCTCTTGTGCCAGATCCTTGTCTAAAATCGAACTGTATGGGTCTAATATCTCTTTCACATCTGTTGTATATTCTTGTACAATTGTCGATTCTTCTACCACATTACTAACCAGAACGTTTCATTAAGATAATTTCTTGATATTTTATCCTACTCAATACGCTCTTTGTACTTTTAAATTTTTCTCTAATCAGATTAAAAACTAATTTAATTACTGGATTCTTTACGCCTTCCTTTGCAACCAATAGCCGCGTTAAATTTTTCCTTTGATATCTCCTTATTTCTCAATATCCACCATTAAACCAACTCAAGATTAAAAATTCTGACGGAAACTTTTAAAGTAGATATTAATCAACATCGCCTTACCTTAAGTTTAACGTACGGACCAAGTCTGAACTCTTCCATAATTTTCTTGTTGGAGTTTCTAGGTCAAATTTACTTACAATAAAGCGGCTCTTTGAGAAAGTATTACCGAAATCCTTTACAGGGATTAGTTTGCAACAATATTTTATAAAGTTTTTTTGAAGCTGCGGCACATTTTATGTTATTAATAAACGAAGTTTGTACTTACTAAAGACCTTTTTCTTTTTTCTTTAACAAATGTTGATAAAGGTATTTTTAAACATGTTAAATAACAACAAGCAAGCCTGTGCTTGGGCAGCAACTTAATGAATATTGGATAATATCTTTACTACAAACTGTCTGTGAATACTGGTCCTCGAAATATATAAGTCTGATAAGTAACCTTCTTCGCCAATTCGTGCTGGAATCTTAAAAAAATAACATTAGTTTTAGAATATCTAACATTTTTCATTCATACATGTAATATATTATTAGTCCGATGCAGTTTGAAACAGCCAAAAAAAAATGATTTTAGGTGATAAAAAGCAGGTCGCAATTCAAGAATACTACAAAGGTCTTGTTGCTCATTATCGGGGCGTCCGTATTGGATATGAATATGAAGAAGAGAAAAATAGTTTGGTAAATACAAAGTAAATACGGAATGCTATATAATTAAAGTGCAATATTGAGTGAACTGAAGGATTGAGGGAGAAGCACAACGGACCAAGTATTCATAATAAGAGAGTTACAAGCAGAAAGCTATGAACACAACTTACCAACGATAGCGCTATTCATCGACTTCCAGCAAGCAAACGATACAATAAAAAGGAAGAAATTAAAAGAGACCCTTGAGGAACTGGGAGTTAGCAGAAAGTTGCGTAACATGATACATCTTACTTTAGAGAATACAGAAAACAGAGTCAAAGTCAACAATCATGCATCGGACAAATTTATAGTAAACGAAGGATTAAGGCAGGGCGATCCTTTGTCATCATTACTCTTCAATTTATGCCTAGAAAAAATAATGCGAGAAGCGAGAATTAATAGAGAAGGACTCCTATATCATAAAAGACACCAAGTTTTGGCATTTGCGGATGATATAGTGTTGCTGGCAAGAGGAAAAAAAGAGCTACAGGAGATAGTACAGAGAATAGTAAAAGCAGCAAAGAAAATGGGACTTTACATAAATGAAACTAAAACAAAATGTATGCAGTGGACAGATGATCAGTTTAAGGATGGACAAAAGTTTAAAGTAGAAGTGGAAGAAAGATTATCATACGAATTCGAAATGGTGGAAAGATTTACATACCTAGGTACAATAATATCACGTAAACCTAACATTAAAGAAGAAATACAAGCTAGAATAATGGCAGGCAATAGAAGTGTACATGCTCTTAGTGGAATGTTGAAAAGCAAGTTTTTATCAAGAAAGGCAAAAATACAGTCATACAAAACAACTACACAACCAATAGCAACAAAACCTACTGGAGATATGGGAAAGGAAAATCTTGAGGAAGATATATGGAGGAATAATAAGGGACGGTTTATGGATAAGAAGATCAAATGATGAGTTAAAGAAATTATATAATCAACCTAACATAATAGGAGTCATAAAGGCACAGAGACTAAGATGGCGAGGTCATCTAGAAAGGATGCCAAACACGAGGACTCCAAAAAGGGTACTAAACTACAATATAACTTTAAAAAAGAGAAAAGGAAGGCCAAAAAATAGATGGAATCAGGAGGTAGAAAAAGATATGGAAGAAATTGGACTAGACGACCAGAAAAGAAAAATGAATAACAAGAAGGAATGGAGAAAAGTCACATATCGAGCCAGAGAAGATCTCAGTACATAAAGGAAAGCGAAAATAAAGAAAGAACAAAATTTTTTAAGCCATGGGCCTCTAAGGCCTTTAGTGCTATTGTATATATATATATATATATATATATATATATATATATATATATATATATATATATATATATATATATATATTGAGTGAACTGAAGTAGAAACTTAGTGAGAGGCGGCTTCTATATGCAGAAGTAAGAGTGTTGTTTTTCCAAGACTATGCACAGGATACACCAGCGTTGCTTATCCGGCTTATTCTCCAAATTTAATCCCATCTCCATGATATGTTCCCCAATTTAAGGAAATGGCTCGCAAATAACAAAAAAAAACGTTGACGAAACAAAAGAAAAAACAAAAGTATAAAAATAACTGGAATCATTGTTTTGGGCTAAAATGAGACAAACATCGAATAAAGTAAAAGAATTTTTTAAAAAACATGTTTTTCATTACAAGAAAAGTTACTTATTAGACCAACTACTAGCTATTCTGATTAGAATATTACAATAACATGGTTATAGATAAATATATTGTCCTATGAAAAAGCACATTTCATACCAAATATATTCATTTTCAATTACTTTTTCAGCTAGTTATGGCATAAAACTAGAATACTTGCCAGTTATTGTTTTACTTAGCAATTCTAAAAAATAATTTTATAACAATATTTCCAATATTTATTGTTAGTTTCCAGTTTCGGAGGAGACTGTGATGAGTCCATCGTTAGAACTCTTCTGATTTTTTGGTTTCGTAAGATAATAACCTTGATAGAAAACAATACCATATTTTCTGCACCATCGGAATAGTCTTTTACAGTTATTTTTTTTTGTTACAGAACGATACAATGAGGATTATTTGGGCGTTCCATAAGGACGAACCTCTTGGTGGAGCAGTAGGTCCAAAATCGCTAGGTCAACACGAAATCGGTAATAGAGGAAGTCAATCCTTGTACCTGGTTCAAAGAGCAGACCAAGATACGCCTGGGCCAGAAGAAACTGCACGAGTTTGGGAGTTGAGGAATCCCGCTATTGAACCACCGGCTCCTGGTGAATCCATTTATTGGTGTAGAATTTTCAAAATTCCTTCGATCACAAGAAAGCATCATTTAATTAGGGTAAGTCTCTCTTTTCCTTATTATAATAAAATAAATGGTCTAGAATTTACTTACATTCGATAGTTAATGCAGATTAGGTTATCTGAGACAAAAATAATAAAATACAATTAAACATAAAAGTTGCTTAAGCGCTACAAAAAAAAATTAAGAAAAGTCAGGTAATTTGAAAAGACCAAATAATACCACTGCATAAGTATGGAAAACATTAGAAGAAACAAGAACCTGGAAACGTGACAAATTGCTAGATAATGAAGAAGTGTCTTATAATCTGTGTACAAAACTAAAGATTATGTTCGATACACAAACTAATCTTATTAATAGGGACGAAAATACAAGCAACAGAAGAAACATACTTTGAACACAAATGTTTGGAAATTAAAGAGTTACAGGGAAAACATAATATGTATACAAAAATAAAAGAAGTAGCGGGTCACTACTACAACAAACATGCAAATAGCATCATTGGTAATGACTGAGCACCTTTTTAATAATGAAAGGCGCGAAGTTGAAATTAAAAAAGTAGTGACAGGACCTGACATAACTATGGACTAAATTGAACCAGCAATTAGATTAGCAAATACCAGAAAATATTTTATATGGTGTTGAAGATTGGACTTTTTCGGATACACTTCTCAAAAAACTGGAAGCCTTTGAAATCTGAGTGAATCGGAGAATTCTACGTATACATTGGGTTAATATAGTTCGTAACAAGGTTGTTTTGCAGCAAATAGCAAAAGTTACGGATATGGTCAGAACAGTTAAAAATCGTTAACTGGAATATTTTGGCAATATTATACGTTACCCAGAGAGATATAGTATTCATAATTTTTAATATTACAAGACAGAATCGACGACAGATAACGACCAAGTCAAAGAACGTCATGGTTTAGAAACCTTTGGAGTGGTTTAACAGATTTTCTTCACCTCTTTTCCGAGCTGCCATTATCAAAATTAGTATATCAAATTTGACGAACCGAAAAATTGAATCTAATTCGCATAAAAATCGAATAAAAGAGAATAGACTAGTAAAAACAGCAAGATATATCACCAGTTAAACAGAGACAATCTCTGAAACCAAGAGTACTGAAATCGAGAAATACTCCAAAAATGAATGGTCATAAAGGTATGGCTATAGAAAACAGTAATAAAAAGAAAAAAATAAGAACAGCAGACTAAAAGCTTACTACTGATATAAATGTGTAATTTATATATAAAATTAAAATAATATTAAAAAATATATATCTAATAGGAAATTGTTTTGCAAACAAAGCGCCAAGTCTTGAATATAATAAATAACTTTTTAGCGATAACGTGTATTCTCCACAACCGATTAACCGAAATTTGCTAAAACTCCACCACGTTCGCCATTTTAGGTAACTTTGCACAAACTAATTGGTTATGTTCTAAATCGCAACGTTAACAGTTCAGTAATATCGCTGTAATGTTACATTCGCGTTTAGATAAGCGAAAGCAAACATTAGTTTCTGAAATTTCAACATAGCGAAATAGGCAGATATTACCTATTACCTTGTTATTTTAATGAAAGTACGTTTTAGATCGATAGGTAATTTATAACAAATGGAATACTTTGATCGAAATTCAGCTCGCGTTCCTCGGTGCTATTGCATTGAAAAGGCAATAGATTGGTATAGAATTAATACATTTATCTACAAAATAAAGTACCACATAATGTCAATAAAGCTAAATAATTGGATTTTCTGAGTTGGCATTGTCATTTGTGTTATTTATTTTACATTATTTCTATGTGATTTTGGTTAAACTGTATTCAAAGCAACTTTTAAACACAAACTAACAGAATCTCATTTATAGGTCGTGTTACAAAGTTGTTTGTGCCTGAAGTTTCGTCTGGAACTGCTGCATTTGTTATTAAAGGCGGTAGATAATCTCGAATTATCGATTCTCTCTACTAAACCGTTTTCTGTTCCATGTAAAAATCCTAATCTCCACTTTATTAAAAACTTAAAAAATTTAATTTAATTAAGCTTTGAAATTAAAACATTGAATACAAAAACTATTAATATAATATTAAACCATTATATATATATATATATATATATATATAAGACTAACATCGGTCAAACTGATAGAACCTTTAACGAACGTATAGCAGAGCACAAAAGGGCTTTCAATAATAGAAACAATTTAATTTAATTAAGCTTTGAAATTAAAACATTGAATACAAAAACTATTAATATAATATTAAACCATTATATATATATATATATATATATATATATATATATATATATACATATATATATATATATATATATATATATAAGACTAACATCGGTCAAACTGATAGAACCTTTAACGAACGTATAGCAGAGCACAAAAGGGCTTTCAATAATAGAAAAACAGATTCTACGTACGCAATTATCCTTCTAGATCATAATCACTATTTTATTGAACAATTTGAAATTCTCTCTTCATATTCAAAATAAAATCCTTAAGCTGTGTTTACTGGAATCTAAGAATTTAATCAGATAGATTAATATGCAGATTTTTGCTAACTTAAATTATAATGAGATAGTCTTTTAAACTATATTAGTATTCAATAATGTTTGTGTAGAGTCTAGCCTATTTAAAGTGATAATATTTACAAACTTTTTAGTGTGTTAACTTTCCTAGCTTGGTACCCTTTTTCCACACTCAATGTTTTTCAATTTACCGTCGGGTTTTCTTTTATTGAATAGTTTTTCTAGATCCTTGCTGAGAAGTTGGATAGCCTTGTCATAGACATGTTAAAGCAGATTTTACTTATATTTTATGTCATCTCTTCAACCTTCTTCATTTTTAGGTCTCTTAGCACAGCATCACAACTGTGCACTTTGATCTGAAGCCTCTGTTTCATTACTTCACTATTGTTCTTGTTAGTGCATCAGAGCTACACGTCAAATATCTACCGGTCTTCTTCTTCCTTTTTGCCTTCTATAGTCCATGTTTGGACATATGCCTCTTCCAACTCCTTGCATCTATCTCTATTCTGAGCAACATACTTCCAATTTGTTCATACTAGTTTTTTTTGTCATCTATCCGTTTCATCTATAACTTCGTCTTGGTTGTTTATCTTTGTAAAGTCTTTTGTGTATTGCTTGCCTCCAATTTTGTATTGTGGTGTTCCAACGCCACAATTCAACATTGGCCCTTAGTATTTCTTTATAGACAAATAGTTTATTGTCGATGGATAGTTTGGAATTTTTTCGTAGCTTCCAATAGAATTTTTCTAAATTTAATATTAAGGTCTCGTCTCTTCTTTATGATATGTGCAACTTTCCATTGAAACACTATTGTGTTTAAATACTGCATTTATTAGATTTTAGGTGAAGATTGCTTTTCTTGATCGCTGTTTCAATATTTATCCTGTTATGGAATCATGTCCAAGAGTTATATTGTCGTACATCTTTTTGATCATTACTTCTTGGGTTAGACGAAAAAAAGTCTCATCTACATGGCGAGCTAGCCCAAATTTTATTATTCTAAGTTTCAGCAAAAATGATATGGACTTAATTATTGCAATTTCGATTTACCACAATTTCTTTTGTGCAATTTTTTTCGTGCGGTCGATTTTTTCCGAGTTGAGGGGAAAAATGGTTGAATTATCTCATGTATTATTGACTTCACAAAAAGTATATAAACAAAAATGGGAAGAATTATATTGTACACGATTTTGTTTGTTTGATTTTTTTTGCTACAATCAATATTTAAGGTTTACGCCTATAACAAGCCTAACGAGATACAAGAGATTAACGAACCCTAGAAGCTGACATCATCAAGCAGTAGGCCTTACAGAGAAACGTTCTGTCTCGTGAACAAAGGCTCAGTTTGTCGATCAACATTCTTCATAGTAGACGTATTGCAATCAAAATTAAGCAAATTTTTTTTATTTGGAGGATCTACTACCAAAAATAATGTTGTTGCAGTGAAAAAAAGGTGTTTAAACTATTTTATCGTAAAGTGTTATTCGGGCTGATGAGAAACCCAAGTGTATGCTTAAAAATCGTGCTAGAAAATATATTTGAATAAGAGGCTAGGGGAATTATCACGTAAAAGAAGTACTGATGCATCATCATTAACATCAACGTCATCGCCAGTTGACACAATGACGAATTGGGACGTATCGAGAACGTTGATCTAATTGATTTAACTGCTCTTACATGTATGTCGTAAAATTAATAATAAACGAGATAATTCAATAATCATACTCAGTCACTTTTCCGCCCCCCCCCCCAACTCGGCATCATTCGCGCGAAAAAATTTGTCAATTTTAGTAAATTGTAGGAAATAGCATTTGCAACATTTTCAGTTGCTACCATTTTTGTCGAAAAGCTGAAATGGTGGAGATGGACGAAAAACGTTCTCTAAATTCAAGATGGCGGCTCAGGCGGCCGCTGAGTTCAGTCTTGATTTTGAACTTACACTACTATTATCCCCCCCTGTAAAGGTTAAATTAATAAAATTTAGGATAGCTCGCCATGCAAGGTCAAATGGAATCTCGACTGGATTATCGCTTCTCACAGCAAATATGGAGTCGTCTTGTCACTTGTCAACTCACTTAGGTTGACGCTAATATATTTATTTGCATTTGTTTGTTTTCTTGTTTGTTTTAGCATTGAATTAGACAGTTTTGTCTTATAAGATAATATTCCAATTTGTTGACACCTACCTCTTAACTTTATTTTTTCTGAAATTTCTTTTTCCCTTATTTCTTTATTTTTTGTGCTGCTTCTTGGATCTACTTTGTAAATATTTGTGTTGTTATTGAAACAGAAGTGTTTGATCATTGCTCCTTTGAAACTAATCCATTCAGTCTTTTGACTTACTTAAATATCTAGCTGACAATTTTGTTCCATTACTTTGTCACTGATTAATACTAGGATAAGGGAATAATCTGAGTTCATGTCCCATGTTTCTAATATTTTAAATATTTTAATTTTGTATTCTCAACAATATTTATTTAAAACTATTTATTAATCATG